GAGGCCCAGGGGCGGCTGGCCCGTGGGAGGCGTGGCTGCGGGGCGGGCGGGCTACACCACCGTGCAGACCGTGTTCAGCGCCGTGTCGAAACGCACGGCCTTGGCCTCCGTGGGCTTCAGGCTCGTGTCGTACATGGGATTCTCGAACGACGCCTGCCCGTTGCTGCTCTCGTGCCCGGCGTAGCCGTTGTACTGGACCTTCGGCCTCGTCCTGCAAGGGAAGCAGGGGACACCGTTAGGGCCTGACTTCCAGGCAGAGGGGCCGGGTGGCGGGGAGCATGTGCGGGACACGGCTGCTCAGCCGGCCCCGTGGGCTTCAGGCTCGTGTCGTACATGGGGTTCTCGAACGACGCCTGCCCGTTGCTGCTTTCGTGCCCGGCGTAGCCGTTGTACTGGACCTTCGGCCTCGTCCTGCAAGGGAAGCAGGGGACACCGTTAGGGCCTGACTTCCAGGCAGAGGGGCCGGGCGGCGGGGAGCACGTGCGGGACACGGCTGCTCAGCTGGCCGGGGCGACACGGGCAATGGGCGCCCGTGGGCCCGGTGGGCTCACACCCTCGTGAATCCGGCGGCTCGTTCTTTTAGCGGCTGGTCGACGTCCTCCGCAGACCTCTGAAAACGGGAGCCATTTCCCAAATCAAAGGACGTCTGATCCCGGCTGACGACGCTGGGCTGGACGATGTTTGGTTCGCACGTCACCTGTCACTGAGAGCTACCTGGCCTCGAGGAAGGCCCTGTACCTTTCAGTCCTCGGAGACCCAGGGCCAAGATGCCCGACTTGGGAACGGCTGAGACATGAATATAAACTTGGGTTCACAGCCGGAACTCACGGCCACTAGATGTGGCTGTTTTTCTAATGAAAGTTCGTCTCCAATGAGTCAGTTATAAAAAAGAACTATACTCATTGTGAAACTATTGTTTATATTTTCTGGTTTAAAGAAAGTCCTATGTAGGATCTGAGATTAGAGAATTAAAGGGTTTTTAGATATAAAAGTCCTAAAGCGATCTAGTCTGACCGCCCACCCCACCCAGTTCTTTTTTTCTAGAAGAGACGACATTACGCCAGCAGCAGAGCTCAGCCTGGATGTAAACGGCCGCACCAAAGAAACGTCACTTGACGTCGGCTGTAAAGAAACTTGTTTTGTGATTACGAGTGTGTTTCCTTGTTCCAACAGACTCATTAGGGAAAAGCACCGAAAGCGTGTGGCCCCAGAGAACCGGGTTCTGTCCGCGCGACGGTCATCTGCCACGGCCCTACGAGCCGGGCAAGGCCGAAAACGCAGCAGCAAACGTTCGTACACAAACTCAGCCAAACGCGGATGCGGCTTAGGGCCGGCTGTGATTGTCCGCTCGTCCCCCAAGTCACAAGTTGCCAGTGTCTCCTCGCCGCTAGGGAAATGCTGCAGAGCTGGCCAGACTCCGGGGCTGAGGGCAGGAGGTCACGGGGCCGGCAGAGCCAGGTGCCCGGGACTCCAGGCTGCCGTGATGGCGAGAGGGCCGTGGGCAGCGGAGACGGGGTTTCACGGGAAGGAGCGCAGAGCCGGCCGCTGAGGGCACGGGGCCCGGGGGGAGCTGGCGGCTTGGCGTGTCCCCTGGGCAGGTGGCAAGGGCTCGGCAAGGGTCTGGGGGCCGGGCAGGGGTCGCTTCCTGCTGCAAAGGCCCTGCGCGCCTCCTGCGGCACAGACTCAGCGGTGGCTTTGGGGTGGCCTTCCGGGGAGCCGGGGCGTCCGAGTCCCCCTTCGCTCTCCGGACGCAGGTGCGTCACCCCCCCAGTGCGGGGGGGAGGGGGCCACAGCCGTGGAGGCGAAGCGGGTCGGAGGCACGTGGGGCGTGGGTGCTGCCCTCTGCCCAGCTCACCGCCTGCGGTCCGCTCCCGTGTACCCTCTCGCGAGGCGCCTGAGACCGACCATTTATAGGGGTGTTTCTAAGGTTAAAGACGACTGTGCCATCTGTTGAATGTTCCTCCGAGGCTGTGTTGCCTTAAAGTGAGGCACCGCAAGTGACTCCTCCGGTAAGGAGTAATAACACCCAACGCATGCAAAGAACTCGTGCAACTCGCCAATAAAAAATCGTTAACAAACGGGCAGAGGACTCGGCCACTTCTCCTGCCATGTCACATGGCCAGCAGACGTGTGAAAAGATGCTCGACTTCACCAGCTGTTAGGGAAATGCAGGTCAGAACCACCGTGAGATGCCCCCTCACCCCCGTGGGACTGGCCGTCATCCACAGGACGGGTCATAGCTGGTGTCGGAGAGGATGCGGGGGAAAGGGACCCTCAGACACAGCGCGGGGGATGCAACCCGGCACGGCCACTGTGGAAAGCAGTCCGGAGGTTCCTCAAAGGGCTAGCGATAGAATTCATTACCATGTGACCCAGCAATCCCTCTTCTGGGTATTTACCCCCAAAACATGAAAACATTTAACCACAGATACGTGCGCCTCGGAGTTCGCAGTGGCACTGTTCCCGGTGGCCAGGACACGGGAACAACCCACGTGCCCTCGGACGGACGACGGACGGACGACAGACGGCCCTCAGCACGCGCGGAGGGGGCCGGCCGTGCGCTGCAGCGGGAGAGGGCCAGGCGCGTGTGCGTGTGCGTGGTGCACACCCAGCCCCGACCCCTCGCCCCGTGACGCGCGCAGCGCTCCCCACGCACCTGTGCTTGTAGAGGTGGAACACGAACCCCGCCAGGATCAGGGCGAAGAACGGGACCAGGATGGCGGCCGCGACGGAGCCGCTGCTCGTGCCCTGGTGCTGCTGTGCGGGGTCGCGGCCGGGGCGCGAGGGCTCTGCAAGACAGAAGGGACGCTCAGCGTGGTCACACGTCACACGCCTCGTGGAGGAGCCCGAGCCCCGCAGGGAGCAGGAGGCGCAGAGCCGCGGGGAGCAGGGTGACGGCCTTTCCCGGGTTCGCGTCCACCCTGAGGATCGAGCCGCACGAGCCCGACCCCCCTTAGGGACGCTCGGCAGCGCTCGGCATGACCCGGCGCCTGCTCGGGCTCGGCCCGGCGCCCTCTGCTCCGTGCCCGGGCGCAGGCCCCAGCACAGCACGAGTCGCGGCCACCACTAAGGGCCCCGGTCTGCGTGAGCGCAGCCTGCTTTCCCTTCAGGGAGCTGCCGAAAGTCATCACAGAGTTTAGAACGACCCGAAAGGGGGCGGCTCGATGTCAGACATCGGCTTCTAGGAGAACGCGGAACGACGCTAAACCGTGACTCCCGTCCACGAGACGGCGAGGCGGGCGTAGGACCCGAGACGCCAGGACGGAGGCGCCATCACTCTAGTGTCTGCGCCCCCGAGGGGCGAGCCCGGGCCCGGCTGCGAGAGACCCGCGAAGGTCGGAAATCCGCTCCCCAGAAAACATCTGTTAAGTGGTTACTGCCAACTGAGGAAGTGTGTTCTGAAGATTTACTCATAAACCACGATTGAGAAACACACCTGGCTTACGGCGTGCACACACTCAACGCCCGTGTGCGACGGCCTATGACTGGGGTCGCCCAGGTCTGCCCTGGGCTCAGAAGTATGTTCCCAGAGCTCACGGAACGTTAATTATAAAGAGAAACCAGTTTCATTTCTTTTTACAAACATAGAGGCAAAGAGGGAATCAAATGTGAAAAATATTAAATAGCTTTTTAAATAGAAATCCTTGACTTTTTACATAAAAACTTAAAAATTCTATCGTCTGCCATGTGCTTCCATAGGTGCAGGGTCACGCTGCCCCTAGCACCCTGAGGTCTGAGACTCGCAGCTTTTATCACCGGTGTGTGCCTGGCTCCTCTCACTGACCCACAGCTTCCTGAGACCCTTCCGCACGGGCTCGCGGGCATCAGAGCTAGCTGTCCGTTTTCAGAGGCACTCGCCACCTGCAGGCAAGGGCAAAACGCCAGCCGCTTCCTCTCCGTGGCTCTCAGCATCCAGGTGATGGGCACGTGGGCGGAGTCACGCCAGCTGGAGGCCCCCACCCCAACGCTCAACTTGCAGAGTGACCTGCAGCATCCTGAGACGGTTCAGATCGAGTCCCGTGGCTGTGGGGAGCCGAGAGCCTCGGGGACGTCGGACCCCCGGTGCTGGTGCCAGCAGCAGCCAGCACGGTGTGGAGGCAGCAGCGCCCAGCCGCGGGGGGTGGCACCGCCAGCGGGGAGACCCTGGGCCCAAAGAGGGGCCACCCGACGTGTCAGGACACCTCAACCTCTTGGAACAAGGCCTGCGCCCAGCAGCGCTTCACTGAGAGCTGCGTGCAGCAGAGATAAGTTCCGAGATGCCGGCCGCTGTCCCCCTGGTCCCGAGCCCGCGGCGGCAGCTGGGACGTACAGGTGCTCAGCCTGCACTTCTGAAGCGGAAGCTCACGCTGGCTTCGCAGGGGCCAGTACGCGCCGGCTTCCATGAAGCTGCCACGCGGCGCCCCGGCTTCCGAACCTCTGAGACTCGCGGCCTCATGCGAGTAAGCCCGTGGTCTGCTTAAATGACCAACGCTGCTTTCTGCAGACAAGACCATCACGGACCGAACCCTCAGTCCACACCGGGAAATCTGCACGCCACGGGGCCTCCACGAGGCGGCATGAAAGGACGCGGTGACTCATGCGACCAGCCCTTCTCCGACGTCAGTAGGCTGCGTGGGGCTCCTAGATAATTTCCGTTATTTACTCTTGTTTCCATTTAAAGGGTGATATATGCACCTGTTAATTAAAAGGGCATAAAATACGTGAGGATAGTGACGGCAGAGGGCGGCGGGGAGGAGGGGCCGTCTCCGGCCTGGACGCTGGCGCCGCCTCTGCCCGCGCCGGGCCCGTGTCCGTCACCTCGCTCCTCCGAGACAGGAAGGCCGGCCGCGGCTTCGTGTGGCGTCTTCACCCAACCCGGACCTCTGAGCCCCTCGCTCGGCGCCGAGGACGGAGACTTAACTTTCCGGGTGCGCAGCGTCTTAAGGGCGCACTGG